AGAGAGGCAGCAGTCAAAGGTGAAAATTGTGCTGTCAGGAGGTCAAGAGGAAGATTTAGAAAAATGAGTGGTTAATAGTGTCAGAGGCCATTGAGAAAGGCACGGAAAAGACTCCTCTGAAAGCTGATAATTAGAAGGTCATTAGTGTCTTTCATTTGGTCTGAAGCCCAATTGCACACATATAAAACTATATGTTACAATGTGTCATTAAGGCGACACTAAATCATATGGTATTAGAAGAAAAAGAAGGAATGCTTTTGGCTGGGGTCACCAGAGAAGGTTTAACAGGCCAACGGACATTGAACATGGAACATGGTAAGTAGACTTTTGACAGGTGGAGTCTTGGTGAGAGAGAAGTCTAGGTTGAGTAAGGTAAGGTGTGGAAGTGGAAAAGGGCATAGCTGACTTGGAGAACTGAGAGTAGCCAGGTTTGTTGGAGAATATGATAGAAATGTAAGAGAGAAGTGATAAATTTGCACTTATAGGGTGATAATATAAGGTGGATTTCCTTCATCGATAGCTATTATGAAAATACATTATTTTAACCCTCAGCTCTATTTACTAAAATAGAATGTAAGAATTTCATTTCACAGTACCTTTATGATTTTTCTTAGTCTTTTAAAATATTTATCAGAAATTATTTTAAAGCATTTGGTTAGAAGTGAAATTAGCCAGATTTTCCTGAAAACTTCTTTTGTTCAGAGTGAAAGTTACTTGATTTCTTTGGATCTCAGACTTCTTATCTCTAAAGTAGATTAGGCTGAATTAGCCCCTGGATTCCTCCAAAATATGATTCTATGATACAGAAAACAGTATTTTCAAAAAAGCACCAAAGTGTAGTTATTGTTTTCATTAAAAACATTGAAGTCATGAACTCATTTTTATTAAACTGGATATAAAATTCTCACTCACTGTTTTTATGTGGGACTTTCTAATGTCTAAGTTCTTTATATACTTTTCAAATAAAATCTGAGCTCTACAAAATAATTATTCCACAGAATCCAATGGAGTTTTAAAAAATACAGGTTAGACGATGATATGTAACAAATTAGTAATTTGGGGAACTCCATAATATTATAACACTTTAGAGATGCAGTAACTTTAAGATCATTTTGTCCAGTTTCACATGAGGAAACCAGACTGTAGAGACTGTAGAGAGATTAAGTGATTTGCTGAAGGCCACGCACCAACTTGGATTCCACCGTGCCATTGTTCCTGGTCCATGGACGAGAGTCAATGGTGGACCAGTATGAATATTTCTGTCTTTCTGATGATGGCTAAACTCTAGTTTCCATTTTTTTAAAGCCATTGCTTTCCAAGTAAAGGGAAAGTTAAAAGTATATGTATTACTTGGTAATATCTGTGTTAATGGAGACCACTGATAGCAAAGCAAATCTGGTCAAAATTTCATTTTTGACTGCTTTCCTATGCTATGTCTGGACCCTTCACCAACCAGGTGTAACCATGCTGCTCAAGGACAAGGACCCAGACCTCTGGCCCAGAATCCCGTTATAAAGGAAGGTGTAGGGAGAAGCAGTCATTGACCAGCTTAGCCTCGGACTATATGACAGTGTCGTGAGACTGTATCATGATATAACAGTATCATGAAATCCTCCCACGTATACACCTTTTAAAGAAGCACCATCATAAGGACAAAATTATATGGGGGATATTTTGAAGTGCCATAGACGCCTTTAAAAATCTCAGGAAAGTAATAGGCCCTTGCCACCAGTAAAGTGACATGCATTCCAAAAATTTGCAGACGAATTCAGGGGCTCAAACTGAGGGTCACTGAGGCCAGGATCCCCAGGGATCACATTTTATCAGCAGTCCAGGCAGTACTTTATGGGGAACCAAGTGGCCTGTACACTATAGCTGGATATTATGGACCCCCTCTCTTAACACCACTTTGTGTAACTTTATCATTCTGGTGGAGGCTGACTAGTAACTGCTGGCCATATGTCCCCACAAGTGCACAGCTCTTAGAGAGGAGATCCTTTCTTGAAATGAAGTCATCTTAAACTCTGTGAGGATTTGGGGTACAAGAAGTTTACTGCTGCTGTGATTAAGAGAAAGTGCAAAAAGTACCAGTGGCTCTAAATCAAAAAGTCACACTAGCTTAGGCCTATGACTGATGGGCAGAATGGGGCAAAGGAAGGGAAAGAAGGTCGAGAGGAAGGAAGAAATGGAGGCAATTAATTTCAAGGACTCTAAAGTAGTGGAATCATAAAATTCCATAACTCCATCTTCTCTTCTGTGACTGGTCATGAAGAATTTCTGTCTACTACAGTTTCCTGGTAAGATCAACCACCATTCTCAGTTTCCTGCCAGGTAACAAATACCAAAGGGAAAGTGGGCTAATTGAATTGTCCTGCTTTTAAAAATATCTGACCCTTGCTACAATATTACTCAAAATACAAACCAATGTGAGACTCAGTTCTCTACAGTACACCCTTTCTTTCAAAGCAAACAAACGGTTCTTATCCTCAAGCTCACATCATTATTAGTATTTAAATACAAAATACTTACATTCTTCTTGAGTTCATTTTAACAAGACTGCTGTAATTGTGTCAACTGAGGTTCTTAGGACCATTCTTTGAAACCAGAACCAGTAGAATCATGTGAGAGAGGCATGAAAATTTCCACAAAGGTCAATTGCTGGACTTTTGAGTCCAGTATTTCTGTGGAATGACATCCAAGGGGTTAAAGGCTTTAAAATGACTGCAATCATGAAATCCATATTTCTCTTTAGCTTAATTTTTAATTTGTACACTATGTTGAAATTCTGTACGAGGAGAGGATCAGCCTACGCAGCTGCAAATATGCTATTGCCATAGTGTCCATGTGTCTGTACAGGATGGATTTTAAGGAATAGAAATACAAATGATAAACCATAATATTCTTATCCAAGTCTACCTTTGACCTGAGGTCATTGAAACAAAAGTTGGAAAATTCCAGAGCAATGGTGGTGAGGAACAAGGAAAGAGCTTAATGATTTTACTAAGAAATAGTTAATAACTTCCAGAGTTTAGAAAATTAATTATACCTGAAGATATAATTTTAGTTGATCACTAGAGTGTTTATTTTGCCTTATCGCAAAGACCAGATACCATAGATATATAAAATTCATTACTTTGCAAAATATTTTCATATCAGACACAAAAATTCACCAGCTCAAACTTTACCACTAAATACCATATCTGCATGTATAGGTAATCCTGCCCCTAAATATTTTGTGACTGAGAGAAGTTAGAGTGGTAGTTTAAGGATATTACCAGCTGAAGTCTTTACAGGTTGGGGATGGAGATGGGGATGGGAAAGGGATTCCTGTTGCAACAAGCAGTAATTTTGCAAAAAGAAGGGGATATTTGGGAGATTACAAAAATATGCATGTGCTGCTGTCCCACCACTGGTGCCTGCTGTAGATACTGAGTTCCCTGATACCACGATATGGCTTCTATCTGCATCTTCACTTAATTTTGGAAAAGTCCTTTCTTTGCTCTCAAAACCTCCATTTTCTTCTATCAAAATCAGATCTATGGGCTTCCCTGGTGGTGCAGTGGTTGAGAGTCCGCCTGCCGATGCAGGGGACACGGGTTCGTGACCCGGTCCGGGAAGATCCCACATGCCGCGGAGCGGCTGGGCCCGTGAGCCATGGCCGCTGAGCCTGTGCGTCCGGAGCCTGTGCTCCACAACGGGAGAGGCCACAACAGTGAGAGGCCCCCGTACCCCAAAAAAAAAAAAAAAAAAAAAATCAGACCTATGACTAGGACATCTTTACCTGTTTCACCTGGCTTTCTCTCATTTCCTATGTTAGGAAAAAGAGACAGTATATGTTATGAAGTTAAGCAAAACTGGCTGATTTCTATCCCAAATTTCATAATTATAGAATACTCATAAAATGCTAATAATTTTGAGTAGATGGACCAGTTAACAAACCCTGTATAAATTAAACCAGCAATTACATTGTGTTGTATAAGGTGCTATTCTTTTAGTATAAGATATTTTTCAAAGGGACCTGGAGGTGAAATCAGAATGTGCTTGATGCCATCTGAGGATCATCATTCAATTAAAAAAAAACACTTTTATGTAAATTACTTCAGTTAAAAAAGAACATTTCAGGGAGATCAGCTCAGTGCTTTGCGATCACCTAGAGGGGTGGGATAAGGAGGGTGGGAGGGAGACGCAAGAGGGAGGGGATATGGGGATATACGTATGCATATAGATGATTCACTTTGTTATACAGAAACTAACACAACACTGTAAAGCAATTATACTCCAATAAAGATGTTAGAAAAATAAATTTAAAAAAAGAACATTTATAATCATACAGGAAACAGTATTTTTTAAGTTTTTCTGTTTTTTTTCCTGCGTACATACTCATTTTAGGAAATTCATAAAATTCAGAAACATACAAAGACTTAACAGTAATAATCTTACCACCCAAAACTGATATCTAAGAACATTTTGATACACAAGAAGTGTATAGGAACCTCAGATTTAATGTGTGTAGTTTTAACTGTTCTTGAGAAACCCTAAACTTATTATATAATCTGTTATAATTTTTGCTGTTATAATCATGAGTCCACTTCTGAGTCTGGTTTGAAATGAGTGAACATTGTAGCTAGTGACTGCAACAGCCCAGCCTCCTCTCTTTATTGTGAGTCTGTGCTGAACTTGTTGTATATAAGCAGTAATTAACAAATTTATACTTTACTGAATTGGCAGAAATGATACCCTAAGGAACAGTCACACATTTGGGGGGATCCAAGTTTTGCTTGTGAATGTTAATTTCTATATTTCCTTCCCCATCTTTTTTGTCTTTTAGTCTTTTAATAGCAAAATATCTTTTTTTTAAATTCTAAGAGAGAGAATTGTACTTGAAAATTGTCAGCTTCTATAGATGTTTTTACAATAGAAAAACGTTTTCTTCCCGCCCCTATGTGGGCAGGTGGATTTTCACTGAAAACGACTTCAAGCTGGTTCTAATGTTTACTCACTTATGCAGGTGTGTTCATCAGCATGGAGACTGTGCCCCGTATCACATGCACAATGGAAGGTGCCCAGAGTGTTAATACAGCGCTGTTGGCAGCCTCCACTCACTACCGTACATTCATCAACATCTAGAGGAGGAAGGCAGATGGTCAGGATTACAATGTCATTCCAATGTCAGCTTCAGAGAAGTGGCACAATATTTCTTTGATACACAGTATATGTTTTATTGCACAAAGGCACCATCTCTGTTGCCACAGTTCTTTGCCTGTTTGATCCATTTTACTCCACAGTATAAACAAAAAAATGTAGATAGAAACTTTATTGAGCTTTTTAAAGCCCAGCAACGATGAGCATAGTGATTGTCTCACAATTTTCTATTCTTCACATCCTGATTAATTAGACAGATCTGAGATATAGATACTTCCTTAGGGAAGGGAACCTGGAGGGGAGAATTACAATGAGCTACCCTATCTGGAGCAGCACACACGAGTAGATAAACACCTTTACTGGTCTGGCGCTGCTGAATAAAGTCAGTAATAAAGTTAATACCTTGACTCTCCTTCTCATGGGCTATAGTGGACATCAGGGCAGAGACAGATAAATTCAAATAAAGCCATGGTTTGGAGTTCTTAAAAACACATGGATACATTTGCTCCATTAACTCAGGTTCTTCCTTATCTTTCAGGGCTCCACTTTCTGAAATACTTAGCATGTTTATGTATGAAGTTACATTAATTTAGAATAAATGAAAAGAGGTCAAGACTCATGGTCACCTATGTCTTACGATCAGTCAAGTTTATGATAAATGAATAATATTTGTCTTCCTTTGGAAAGGAAAACCAATTTATCTCTTAGAACCTATACTTCCTTGTACCCTATACAATCAGCTCTGATATATCTAAAATCACAAGAAGATATCCACAAACACAGGGAAAGCTTTTCAGATAATCAGTGATTTTTCAGATAATCAGAGCTTCTAAATTTTCCTGTTTGGAGAATCTGTTTTGTGACATGTTCCAAAGTAAAAATCAGACAGAAAGGTCAAGATTTAGTCTGCACATGTCTCATGCAGAGAATGTCCCTGACTCCCCTGTCCCAAGTTCCAGACATTCTGGCAAAGACTGTTGAGTATGAATATTCTTCACTAAAATATGTTATCATAATAGATAATTAGCTTTACATTGAGTGAGATTTAATTCCACAGGGCAAGATCCTTACTCAAGAAGACATCAATATTGGGAAGGAATACTATTGCAATGTTTCATCATAGGCCCTTTTCACACTGAAATCCTAATGAATGTTTTGTACTGTAGGTAACATTAGGGCATGTGACCTGAGAGAAGCAAAAGAGTTTTTTTTTTTTTTTATGAAGAAGAAAAAATATGAAGAATATAAATCACAAAATAAGTCCCACATTTTAAAATTACTAGTTTACCATATTAAACACATTTTACACAGTCTAGTATTTTCCTTCTAAAATTAGATATTCTGGAGTAATTCTGATATTTTAAAAGGAATCTTATTTTAGAGATAAGAACTACTGACTTTTCAAAGTGTTAGAATTTTTATTAAATTTTGAGTCTGTGATAAACAAACCACTAATTTTTTCCATATAAACTAATACCAAATCAGAATTCTCCATTTGTAACTTGTACTTTGTGCAGGGCTTTAAGAGTTATGCTACCTAAATTTTTATCTTTCTAGCTTTAGGGTATTATTCACAGGGTTGAGATATAATTTTGAATCTTAATTCTGTCAACCCCTGAATTATATATCCTTCCCAGGTCTTTTACTTTAGACATACAAATAAAACTCTTAATTCCCAAGAGTTATATGTTTTTATCAACAAAACAATCAATGTATCAGTATTTGCCATGATCAAAATTTTTTATAATATACCATATATATGTATTTAAATACATTAAGAATGTCTTAAAGAGTGTGCACAGATAAAATGATTACTTCTGAGGAGGGAAGGAAGGTATCTGACTGAGTAGAGTACAGGATGTGCGTGTTGGACAAGGAATGTTATCCACATCTATAAGGTTCTAATTTTTCACAAGAAAGTTATTCAGTTACTACTTGTGTATTAAAAAGTAATTTTGAAAAAGAAGTATAATAAGAACACCTCCCCTTCCGCTTCAAGCTCCAATAATTTTCTGGCAAAAGAAACCAAGTTAGTGTAAAAGAGAAAAATCATTGGGTTCGTTCCAAAGATTAGAGTGGACATTGATTTTAAGGATGAGTATTCCTTCAGTATGTTTTAGTGTGTTCATATTCTTAATCTTCCCCAGAACTATAATTAAAGTACTATAATCTATTAAAAACACATACACACTAACAAACAAAAGCAAACCAAACTTCCTCTGTACTCTGAGTCAGACAGTCTTGGGAAAAATATCTTAGTGTTGAAACTTATTAACCTGTCACTTTGCCTCTCTGAGACTCAGTTTCCTCATCTGTAAGATGGGATAATAATGACTGCCACATGTACTATTCTCTGATTTATGTTTTCCTTTCCTATTCATGTATAAGAGATTGGAATAGACTGCTAATGCTTGAGATTATATGTAGAAATCAAACAAGCAACGATAGAAATACTGAGAAATGTGGGAATACAGGGAAGGGGAAATGCATTTGGGCTACAGTGATAAAGGAATGTTTGAGGTAAAAACTGAGAATTGAGTGCATGGAGAAAAGGATGGGTAATCCAAAGGTGCAGAGGTTTAAACGTGCAGTGTCTGAGATTCAGTATTTAGACCTGTCAGGTTGGTGAATAAGGTTGGCAAAAGAAAGTAAAGTTGAAAAACAAACCTAAAATCTTCTTTTAATTAATTTAGATAGCAAAGTCTTCCTCTTCTTGATTTACAATACAATACACTTCTGGGCAGGTTGAGACATAACAGGCTGTGTTCACACAGTAGTTAAGCAAACTTACTAACAGTTAAAAAAATCAATCATTTATAGAGTGGTACCAAATGAAAAGTAATTGGTTTGACTTTCTTCTTTTTTGTCCTTTCAGAATACACTGGATTTACTGATTGTTTGGGCATTGTGTAACCTACCATTCTCAAATGTGGCAGTGCATTAGAATCACTTGGTGGGCATTTAGAAATACCCAAGCCATGGTTCTGTCCTTAAAAACGTCTGATTTAATTGGTCTGGGGTAAGACTTGGTAATCAAATATTTGAAAATCACCTTTAGTGATTCTAATGGGGAGCCAGAGTTGAGATCCCCTTATGTAGTTAATGTTTTAATCTCCTAGAGATCTTGTTATAACGTAGATGCTGATTCAGTAGATCTGGGGCTGAGGGGCTGGATTTTGCATTTCTAATAGATCCAAGGCAATTCTGAAGCTGTGGTCTGTGGACCATACTCTGAGTAGTGAGCCTGAGTCCTCTGTTCAACTGCAAATGTCACACGGATCACAAATGTCATGATCTGGCTCAACTTCTCAGCTGTTTGACCAAAGCAGACCAATTCAGTTCAAATAGATAAATCAATACTCTGACAAAAATAGTGTGTGTATATACATACTACATACATATATACATACATTAAATTATTTACCAAAACCTCTGAAAAGAAACCACCCATATTTCCCACACTATTCACTCAACAATAGTTAATATTTTTAAGACAATGTTAGCATTATCTGTTATGAGAAATGACTTTCTTCTGTAAAATGTGAAGGACATTTTAGTTCTTTTCTGATGAAATACCTCTGATATAGGATAAAACCGGGTTAATTTGCCATGATATTAGACACTCATGCTGAAGCCGTCACAACTGATTTTCTTTTCCATCAAGATTCTGCCCAACAGAGTTAAAAACCAGAAATGTCAATATTACATTAAAATGTTATTATGAAGTATACTTCATGTGGAGAAACCATTTCTCCAATTTTTCTCTCAGTTATATCTTAATGTTAGATGCTTACAGAAAGCCCTGCCCTCAGAACTGGAGCTCCAGGACACTGCTGGGAATAATGATAAAGTGATTAGAATTTTTTCAGCATTATCCCTGTGATATGGACCAAGGATTTGATGATTTTTATACTGTACAAGAATGTCAAAAAAGAATCAACTATGTCTGCTATTCTTCCTTTTTAATGTCCTTTCTCTAAATATTTCTGCTGTATTTATCCCCCAAACTATTTCCCCAGATGATCACAGAATATAATAGCTTAAAAGAATTCACACTATTATCAAGTGTATTTTGCACATAAAAGCTCCCTGAGACAACAAAGATCCACTTTTGTTTCCAAACAATCAAGGTTGTTTTATATTATTTTTTTAGAGTGTGCAGCCAGGGTAAGATAAATTATTCTTCCATTTGCCTTTTCATATAGGCAATATAGGTTTCTGTTCTCGGAAACCTGTTGATTGGAAATAAGCATTGCTTTATGTTAAAGACCGCAATATAGAAGTGTTAGATTTGAAGGAAATATTAGAGGGTGTGTTGAAGACTCCACTAGATTTTCTAGATGTGGCTTTATTTTCACTCTGTTCTATTATACTTTCACTCTGATATGCAATACTGCTGACTTTTCACTTGTATCTTAATTCTGTAGTTCCTGATCGGATGAACTCCTTAAGGTCAAGGATCCTGTTATATTAAGCATTTTCTGGAATAGAGTTGATACTCCATAAATGTTCTGTGAATGAATGAATGAATGTGTGGTTTGAGAGCCATCCACATAATTCAGTCTTCTATCCACCCATATTCATCAATGGGATTTCTTAGAAATGGGCTCTGTTCCACTTGCCCTCTCTTCACCCTTGCAATAGACTATGGATATTTGCTTTTGACCCTTCACAAGTTGCTTTAAAAACTCCAGGGCACGGAGTAATTTTTGTTTGCTCATGAACAAATTTAAATTGTGTCTACAGTGAATATTCACAGGTTGGCCATTTTTCTTGTTCACTAATACTCAATAACTATCAGGTTTTCCTTTGGGGAATTTTATCCCTGTCATTTTAGGGATGATAAAATGTCATATCCATGTCATTTTATCCCATGTAGATTATATGGGACTGATGAACACCACTCCTCTCTCAAATCTGAGGTGGACTTTTCTTGGCATAAACCTACCTCCATCTGCCACAGTGACTGGACCAGGTAATG